TAGTATTATAATTTCTATCACTTCTAAAAATGTTGAAGTCTTCTAACCCCAATTCTGTATAATATACAGTGGTATTTACGAAAATCAGTGCCAAAGAAGGAGTAGCTCTGCTACGAAATATATAAAATTCATATACCAACTACCAGAATGTTAATATATTGCTGAACGAATAGTTAGCATAAAAATTAAATTAGATGTCAAACAAATATTTAAATATGATAGCAATCTATGCACCTGAGATGCCAATACAAGACAAAGCTTCTACGAACATCTACACATTACAATCAATGACGCCCTACAAATGAATATTTGATACATCCAAGTCCATGTTGGCGATTACATAGTACTAGGGATAAAAGAACCGAATATACCGAAAATGACGGTTTGATTTGTATAGGGTTATTGTTGAAGAAAGTTTGTGGTACATTGCAATGTCTTGTGGTAAATGTAGTTTGTGTTGATTTAGAATTATTGACTTTGATTCTCCACTATTAAACTACTGTTCTAGTCTATTAAGGTGGTTTTGTAGGTTTTGAACAGTATCTAAAGGATCATTGTGGACAGCCACAATTGCAGTATCATCTGAGAATGTAGCTACTAGCATTGTATCGTTATCCATTTGTAGGTCTGCCGTATAGATAAGGTACTGAAAGAGCCTTAGCACATTGCTCTGTGGAACTCCTGAGTTGATTATCTTGTAGTTGCTTTGTGTATTGTCCATTTTGATTTGAAATCATCTATCTTGCAGATATACTTTTAAGAGTAGATACGTTTGAGTCGGTAATTTTTTCTTCATCTTATTTAGTCCCTCGTACCATACTTTGTCGAAAGCTTGTTGTGCATGACCATGCAGGTCATAGTATAGTGGAAGTCTATGGCACTGCCCTGGAATGGTTTTCTCTAAACCCAAATTGGTGGTCGTAAATTAGTTGATCGGTAGGGTCTGCATCCTTGATTTTTTTTTAATATTTAATATGTATTTAATCTGGGCAACTTCCACTCTATGGTAAATACCGCAGGATTTAGTACTGTTCCTACTATTAGGCCGTATCCTGGAGCTTTGTATGGATTACTATATTTAGTCACTTGCATTACTTCAGATGGCTTTATTGAGTTTATTTGTAGTTGCATCAGGCAAGGGCTGGGCAGATATCCAGAATTTTTTTATTATCTTTGTCGTCATGTGATGGAAGTGGAGTGAAAACTTTAGCTAGATGTTCTGCAAGTACTCTCACTTGTTCTTCATTTGCTTGCTTCCAGCTACTATCCATGCTTCTTATGGAGGGTATTGCAACTGCATGTTTTCTGAATTTCTTCGTTGCTTTCCAGACAGAGTGGTTATCTGGTGATAGAGCTATGATGTACTGTTGAAAAGTCTCATTTTGGAAGTCTTGTAGGACTGTACGTAGTACGTGTGTCATTCTATTTAAGTATCTTATCTTTGTCATGTTTTTCTAGCTCTTCTCTTATCAATTAATAGTTCTTTTATGTGTAATAGGATGTTATTTGTTTTGTTGTCGTCATGTTGCACTGGAGTTACTAGCCATGCAACGTGTTGTATTGAGACTGTGAGGTATTAGACGACAGCTTTGATGCCTCTACTTCATGTTTAAATTTAAGGTGGTGTTTAATTCATTTTGAAATTTTTCCCAGTTTGTATTTTTTGTGCAGAGTTTTTAAAGATAGATACAGAGCTGAGTGATATTATAATTGGACTGTAAATAAGTCAAAACTAGATTTTATGTTACATATGTCAGATATTCCTTTAGTAATGGCAAAATTAAGAAGATAGGGTGGTTTACGAGAATCAGAAGGCCAGTATGTCGGTTCACCTGTTGATAGATAATTTATATTGTGACGTACTACTCTGAATAGTACTTCACAGTAGTCGGTTAGATAGCCAAGCGGGTTGGGCGGCCTGTTCTAATTCGCTTCGACTAACGAAATATCTGACCCATCTTCAAGAACTCAATTCCACTCTGTGCAAAAAACACAAACTGGGCCAAATTTCAAAATTAATTAAACATAAACTAAACTTTAAACATATGGCTAAAAGAAAGAAGGCTTAACATAATTGCTAGAAAAAGATGACAAAGATCAAGAAACATATTTGATAAGAGGTACTTAAATAGAATAACACACATGCTACATATAGCCCTACAAGACTTCCGAAATGTGGCTTTTTAACAGTAGGATCACAGCTCTATCACTAGATGACCGATCTATCTGGAAAACAACGAATAAATTCAAAAGACCTACAGTTGCAATATCTCCAATAAGAAGGATGAATAATAGCTGGGAGCAGCCAAATGAAGAAAAAGTGAGAGTATTTACAGAAAAAGTGAGAGTATTTTCCGAACATCTAGTTGGTTTTCACTACATTTCTATCCCATCTGGAGAGTCTTTAACAAATGACTCCCAATGAACTCAATAAAGCCATCTGCAAGTGATCATAATATTAAACCATACAAAGTTCCTGGATACGACTTAGTAGTAGGAACAGAATTAAAACAGTTACCTCGAAAGGTAATTGTCCTATTTGCGTCACTATGTAATAGTATCCTGCGACTATATTACTTTCCTATACAGCGGAAGTGTGGCCAGATAGTCATGATTACTAAACCAGCTAAACCACCTTCACAGTCAAATTCATACGAACCAATAAGCCTTCTACCTCAAATATTAAAAGTTTTTAAGAAACTTCAAACTACTCAAAAAATTAAGGATGCACTCTATCAATCAACTAATTCATGACCACCAATTTTGATTTGGCAACTAAGAGATGAAAAGGGTGCACTTATAACAGATATAAACCAAAAAATGCAGAGATGGACACAATATATAGCACAACTATTTGAAGACAAAGAGAGAACAGAAGTACCAAAAGAATTTAAGGATGATACTGGGCCTGACATTATACGAGAAGAAATTGAATATGCAATGAAACAAGCTAAAGATGGTAAATCTCCCGGACCTGATGAAGTTCCTATCGAATTACTTAAAATTGTGAATACTGAATCTATTGATCTTCTTTTGGATCTATTCAATACCATATATAGAACAGGTATAATACCTAAAGAATGGCTCCAATCAACATTCATACTGCTTCCCAAAAAAGCCAATGCAAAGGAGTGCAATGAACATCGCACCATAGCCTTAATGAGTCATGTCTTGAAATTGTTTTTAAAAGTAATTCACAATAGAATACATAAGAAATTAGATGAAGGCATAAGTAATGCACAAATGGGATTTAGGAAAGGACTGGGAACACGAGATGCACTGTTTGCAGTAAGTGTTCTTTCGCAGAGATGCTTAGATATTAATCAGGAAGTATATGCCTGTTTCATTGATTTTGAGAAGGCATTTGACAGAGTGCAGCATAATCGACTTAAAGAAATTTTATTAAATAAAAACATAGACAGTAGAGACATTAGAATCATCTGTAACTTCTATTGGAATCAAACAGCAAAAGTGAAAGTTGAAAACGAACTGACCAAGGATATGAAGATTCGCCGTAGGGTCCGCCAAGGGTGTATTTTATCACCCTTGTTATTCAATTTATACAGTGAAGCCATCTCAGAATTAGCTCTTGCCGAGATCAGTGAGGGCCTTATAATAAACGGTGAGCCACTTAATAACATAAGATATGCTGACGACACCGTCCTTTTGGCAGGAACACTAGAAGAACTGCAACACCTTGCTGAACAACTAAATATATATTGCAACGATTATGGACTAAAAATCAATTTGAAGAAAACCAAGTTCATGGTATTTACAAAAGCACAAAACATCAAAGTTAAGCTAGTACTAGATAATACAGAAATTGAACAAATATCTTCGTACAAATACCTTGGAGCATGGATCACAGAAGATACTGATCAGACAAAAGAAATAAGATGCCGCATTGAAATTGCGCGGTCAACTTTTAATAGAATGAGAAAACTTTTTTGTAATCGCGATATCAATATATCGCTCCGGATAAGAATGCTTCGATGTTATATTTTCTCTACCCTTTTGTATGGAGTTGAAGCTTGGACACTTAAAAAATCCAACATTAAAAACCTAGAAGCATTCGAAATGTGGTGTTACCGATGCATTTTGAAAATATCATGGATGGATCGCAAAACAAACGAACAAGTTCTCGAACAACTAGGAAAACAATGCGAAGTTTTAAATTCCATAAAGATCAGGAAATTGGAATACTTGGGGCACATCATGAGAGGTGAAAAGTACGAACTACTAAGGAATATAATGCAGGGTAAAATCAAAGGTAGAAGAAGCGTAGGAAGACGTAAAATCTCGTGGCTACGCAATCTCCGTGACTGGTTTGGATGCAGTTCAATTGAACTATTCAGGCGAGTAACCAATAAAATTATAATTGCGAGAATGATTTCCAATCTCCGATAGGAGTGGAACTTGAAGAAGAAGAAGAAGAATTGTGATTTAGAGAAAACCATATTTACAAAACCAAAACCATATTTATATCCCAAAGTTTGGGATATAAATAATATTAGACAGCGGTATATCGCCGGTGTATCCACTAAATTGGCTATTTTTATCATTTGATGAGTTTATGTACCTCAATAGTTATTTCCCGGATTAAATTTAAACAACTTATGATTTTTTTAGTAAAATACTGTCATTTAGTTTCTATCCTCCCTCCAGTTTCTTTTCACCCCGTTTTACGGTAATTGCTGTGTATGTGTCTTGTTCAGACATATTGCAAGATGGTTTTTGAGGTAAAACATGTCTCTTATTGTACTGTTTCAAAATTTAATTCCAACATAATTGGTACAACAGTACAAACCTTTCATCCTGTATAAACGTCTAACCTTGAGAAATAATTTTAATTTTTTTCCATTAGAATAAGAATCGTAATTCCATTAAGGTACCCTTAAAGGAATCCTTAAAAACAAAGAGATTTGTCTTTATTGAATTAGGACCGTAAGACGTGTTTCCTCGCAAAATGCTATAAAAGAAAGTTACAACCATCGTAATTTGAGTCGAGCCCAAGCGCGTCTTCCGATAGTATTTAATGTAAAAAGTCTTAACCTGATTGACTCGAACCGTGCTTATATTCTCTGACTGTGATCCGATCTAGGGTGAGTTCATATACTTTTTATTTGTGGTGTTTTTATTTAATATACGTAAACGAATATTATTTATATAATTATAACATTATGTTGTTCCTGAAATCATCTTCCAATATACGTGATGGTTCTGTGTTAAATAAAAAGTTTCATAGCTTTAAAAATTACATCAAAGAGACATTCAACTTGTATCGTACGTATACATAAATCTTATATATGTGTATACTTAGTGAGATGTAAAGGTGCTAGAAAAATAGGTACTCTTGAGCAATGGTTTTAAACAGCCCATAGCACTACTTATACAGTGTTACTAAATGAATAAATGGAAACCAAAATAATAATAAGACATACATAACTGCTAAAAATTAATCTGCCCGCGACTATACGTTTGTACACAATTATACAGAAGAAGATTACTTTTAAGAAATTTTCTATTTCGTAGAATCAAGTTGCAAAGTTTGCTTTCCTGTTTTGCATGTATCCTGAGACTAACGCTCAGTGATTTCTTAAGATATGGCAATTTGTATAGAAATGAATATTATCCTAAAACTGTTTTCTTATAATAAACATTTTATATCCAGTTTTCACGTCCAGGAGGATTCAGCTGTTTTTAAAATACAATTTTTTAGTTTTAGTCTTTTTTAGTATTTGCAAGTGCTTTTAATCACAAGTGCGATATAAATTTTTTAGATATTTGACATTGTGTGCCAAACTGAAGTACTATAACAAATATGTGATATCTCTGTTTATAATCTCGTCGACAAATGGTGGCATATTAAAAATTCTCCTATTTTAGTGCCAGCATATCCTAATGTTTCTCATAACTTAAACTGTCCGAGTAAATTAACTTTCTTTCAATCGAATTTCAATATCTTTTGACAATGACAATCTAATTGATTTTCAGCGTTGGGTCACCGAACAACTAGCCAAGCTTGAGCTAGCCAACTTAATTCATGCAGGATTTTCACGGATGGCTGAAAATCAAGATTGGGAGTTAGTTTAGCTTTATATATTCTAGACCACCAAGAATCCCTAATGTTCAAGTTTGATAAACGATACTCCATATACTCTGCACAAATGTTTGTAATTTATCAAGCTCTAAAATGGGCTGTCAACAAAAAATTTCTAACCAACAAGTTGTAATTATGTCAGATTCAAGGTTTGCGGTATTAGCTTTAGAAAACACACTAAAAACTCTAAAATTTTAGAAAACCAACTAAAATTGCTGGAAGGACATACTTTTGTAACTTTCATCTGGTTAAAGGGAGACTTTGGTATTTTCGGTAAAATCAAAGTAGATTTTTTTGTTAAAGAGGCTATCTTAAAAGGATCAGAAATAATCTGGCTAAATAGAAGCAATCTCACAGCAACACGCAAGGAAAGTTTAAAACAAAATAGGGATACTGAGTGGTACGCTTTCTAAAATCGAAGCAACAATCTCTATACCAAAATTCATCCTGTTTTACCTGAGCCTTTTGCTCATAGAAGTCAACCATATAGAAAAATTAATTCCATCTTTGTTAGATGTGTCTTTCATCATACCACTATCAAGACATACCTCTATAGACTAAAACTATCAGAGAACACCAAAGAATAATTGGCTGTTTGGACGTAAACATAATGATAATGCATTTAACTATTTGATGCAAATTCTGACACAAGAACAAATACCTTTCCCATAAAATCAAGCTTGTTTCTTATATTTGTCTCGACGAAACTGTAAAATAAAACAAATCATCTGGAACTTTCTAAAAAGGACTAAGAGGAAAATTTAATTTATGTTGAATGAGTATTTAGCATTTGTTCCTCATATTGATTCTTATGTAATATTACCTCCCTGGCCATTGCCCGTTTTGTATTGTAGTAGTAAGTCGCTATGGAAGACATCTTAATACATAGACATACATAGACTAATGAATAGACATCTTTGTAAATCAATTTAATCCTGGATGGAGAGTATTTTTACTGGTCAATTTAATGTTTCCACTTCCTTTTTTTGTATTTGTAGTTTTTTATTTATTAATACATATTTGTGTGCGTAAGTGTATATAAGTGCGTATGTGTATACAATATTCTTTTATTTAATATTGTAGCAAACAGTATTATCTATCGTGACTGAATGGATCAAGAAATCCAAACCCATTTAAAAGAAATACATTCCTTATCTAGATTTGATTATGAAATTAGTAGTAGTTTCCAAAAGTGCTTCTGATTTTTTCACTTTTTATGGACCATTTAGAAAATGTTGGAGTTTTTATAGTTACATGTGTTATTGATCAGGTCGTAAAACGTCTTTTCCATATATTTATGATATTGGCAAACGAGTACCCTGAAGTTTAAGACGATACATTTGGTCATTTCTTCTATATTTTCACAGAATGTAAACAAATTATGTACATGGTTATCAGGGCACCTGTAATTACCTTGAGTTCAGTTTTCTGAAACTCTAAGAATATTTTTACGTATTGAGCAGAAGGTATTAATATCATTTTTACTTGCCTTTAGCCTGTAATATTTTTGGAGTAGGCTGCAATAAGTTCCTTTTCTTATTTTCGGAATAGGTCTCTCCTATAAGAGGAGAAGCAGCTCCATATTTAGCAGGAGTACCAACAATCTCGTTTACCAACTATTACTTTATGCCCTAACATCCATAAGAAAGGTACCTTTTTGTGCTTCGTCAGTTCTTTAACGGACTATTTGCAATGACAGGCTGTTATGCACATGAAGTTGTAGACTTCACACTCAGTCTTATTACAGCTAGACTTAAAAATATTCCTTCGATGTTTTTAAACCTCAGATAAACTCCCTGTGATTTCGGCTTCCTATTTTATTATATTTCTTTCGTTTAAGTGAAAAAGCTGCAGTTTGACGGACTCTAAACGTAGACGCACTGTAAAAAGATCAACATGGAATTTTGTCCTTATTAATTAGCTTAATTCGGGGTTATCCACACATATACGATAAATCCAGTAAGATCTGAAAACCAAAGCTCTGTTCTAGTTTTTATTTGTCACACTTCGCCGCTATAAGTTTAATTCTCGGGATCATGGTGTTCCCAGATTCCCATGAGATATGGGATCCCAGACGACCTCATTTAGTATACATATTGCTCTCTTATCCTGTATGTTTCTGTACCGTATTGTGTGGTCCATTGCGTAATCATTTGTAATATGTAAGCCTAGATATTTATCGTTTTTACAATGCCTGTGTTCTTCACTTTGTAATATTAGGTTCTCTTGTACCAGTCCTATGCACGTAGTTTCTGTTTTGTTTACGTTTATTTTTAGTCCTCATTTAATGTATCCTTCTACGAGATTTCTTGTCATATATTCCAAATCTTCGTGGCCCTGTGGCATCACTATCTGATCGTCTCCAAAGCACAGTATATATAGGGTTTTCCTGTTTAGTGCAATTGCCATTCCATCATATTTTCTTTTCCCTATCTTCAATGCCTGTTCAAGGTATACTTTAAAAAGCGTTGGTGAGATGAAACAACCCTGTTTTGGGCCCTTGGTTACCTTGATGTTTTCTGAGAGTTCATCTATTTTACTTAAGCCTGTATATTATTATATAGTTCTTTAATTGCCTTTATAATCTTTATATTAAAATTGCTTAATGCTAAGGCTTCCTAGAACCCCTTAAGGGGATCCATATTGTATGACTTTTTAAGGTCGACATATTATAGTAAATGTATCTCTTGGTCCCTAACGGTTTTTTTTTCTATTAGTTGAGTCCCGCAAAATAAGTGGTCCACCGTCAATCTAGCAGTCCGGGTGACCGCTATCACCCGGTAATTTTCACTTAGTTGGTGTTTCAGCTCTGTTAAACAGTTCTGGAATAATTGAGTCAGTTGACGGACTAGCGCCTTGCTTCCATATTTTATTATCCCGAAAGGTATTTCATCAGAGCCAAGAGCTATTTCGTTCTTAAATTTTTGCAGATTTCTGTTATTTCTAATTTCTAATTCCTGTATTTTTATCAGTGATACCACTATCCGTACATTAGTGCCTGTATTTTCAGCATGTATAAATATAATGTCTCGCAAAATATAAGTATGTCTTGTAAATATGTATAGTATGTGAAAAGTATTAATTGTTCATTATTGAGAGCTGACCCCAAATCACTAAATTTCTCTTATTTTTTTGAATTATTTTTTTGTTTCTATTCTGCAGTTATGTAGAATAATAAATTACTAGATTTTTAATATATTATTCGAAAAAGTTCCTAAAAAATAAACTTCTTTATTGTTTATGTTCACCACTTCCAAAAAATTTCTGTTGGTTACCAAGTATCTTTAGATCGATATGAACACACGGCATACATCACGCAGAGATAATAAACTTCATATAAGACAATGTGACATTAAATCTAAGATTATAAAATTACATCAAACAAATTAAAGTCAAACAAAGAGAGAAACAAAGGTATACCATGTAGTAAAATTTAATACATAAACCAAAATTTATAACTTTACGTTATAGTAAACATTATATGCACGATAATACGAACATACAAGGTACAATTTTTAATAAATCTACCCTAATACTAGCAACCGCAGATAACGTGAACCTTCTCGCATGTACGACTCATAAATCCAGCTAAATGTGCGCTGCAGTTTTCCATCGTAGCAGGAAAGGCGGCTCTGGTCAAGAACGGTTATCTAGTTAACTGTTCTTGGGCTCTAGTCATCACCGAAAATAAAACTAAGCTCATGGCATCAGAGGCAGGTCACATATTTAGAAAGATGGAATATAACTGTAATAATGTCACTGACTATAATTTTGAAGTTGTTCAAGAATTTTCTTGAGCTATACCTAAGACAAGACACAAAATCAAGAATCTATATCTATAAAGCAGCAATTAGACCTATATTAACATACACGGTGGAGATAAGACCTGACACATCTAAAACGAGACGACTAGTAGAAACAACAGAGATGAAAATACTCCGACGAATATCAAGGAAAAGTCTGTTGAATAGCGAGAGAAGCGAAAATATACAGAAGAGCATG